TGTCTTGTGAAAGACTGGAGGCAAGAGTGTCGAAACGATTATTAAGCTATTACGACGAGCTTTTTTTGTCTTTCTATAGGGATTCAGTTTTGGGATGGAGGTGTAAATAAAAATCGATAAAATGATTGGATGATTTTAGAGTTGTATGAGGCAGAAGAAAATGTTAATCTCATTGTACTTCGTCTTTAAACTAAAGCTGCATCTACACGTAGCGGTTTGGCTTGTCAGACAGAAGACGGTCGTCCGAGTATATTTGATATCATTTCTTTTTAATTTTTCTCTACAGTTATGGTTTTTTTTTCGAAGGGACCTGGTATTAATAAATACACATAGTTTAAAATTAATGATATTTCATTTACATGATACGATTTATTTAGATTTTTGTTGGATTGGAATTGAATGGTATTAATGAATATTTTAAAAAATCACCATATAAAGGGAAAAAATTAAACAGTTTGCCTCTAAATCGTGACAATTGATATTTGTTCAAAATGTGCAAAGCGTTAAGGATAAAAATTCAAGTTAAAACAGTGTGTTATAGCAGCGTTTTGATTTCAGTTAGTTTATCTTTATTTTTCGTGAAAATAAATGTTGAAATTGAGGTAGTTTTAAATGACATGAATGGTAAGGTTATTATTTTAATACTTAACATTAAAAAATATATTCTAAAACCTAAATAACATTTTTTGCGAAGGTACCTACGTATTGTATCAACGTGTCGTATCAACCTATCGTTTCATTTTGATACAGTGCGCTAATTAATTGTGTATCCCTATCAATTGTGCGGTTGGAAGTGATCCAAGTGAACCAACTGGTAATTTTTTCCCCTGAGTGTATGATTCTTGGATTGGAGGGTATAATTTCGTTATTAAATAACATTATTATCATCAAAAGAATATACTAAAACCAAATTATAACGAGAAAACTGTCCTGGACTGGGTCCTTTTGAACTGGATGGCATTTGTCCATCAGCAGTTTACCATTAGCTGAAGAAGTAAGATTCTTGGATTGGAGGGTATAAATTCGTTATTAAATAACATCATTATCATCAAAAGAATATACTAAAACATAATTATAACGAGAAAACTGTCCTGGACTGGGTCCTTTTGAACTGGATGGCATTTGTCCATCAACAGTTTACCATTAGCTGAAGAAGTATGATTCCTGGATTGGAGGGTATAAATTCATTATTAAATAACATTATTATCATCAAAAGAATATACTAAAACCAAATTATAACGAGAAAACTGTCCTGGACTGGGTCCTTTTGAACTGGATGGCATTTGTCCATCAGCAGTTTACCATTAGCTGAAGAAGTAAGATTCTTGGATAGGAGGGTATAAATGATTGGAGGGTATAAATTCATTATTAAATAACATTATTATCATCAAAAGAATATACTAAAACCAAATTATAACGAGAAAACTGTCCTGACTGGGTCCTTTTGAACTGGGTGGCATTTGCCCATCAGCAGTTTACCATTAGCTGAAGAAGTATGATTCTTGGATTGAAATGTATAAATTCATTATTAAATAACATTATTATCATCAACAAAATATACTAAAACGGAATTATAACGAGAAAACTGTCCTGGACTGGGTCCTTTTGAACTGGATGGCATTTGTCCATCAGCAGTTTACCATTAGCTGAAGAAGTATGATTCTTGGATTGGAGGGTATAAATTCATTATTAAATAACATTATTATCATCAAAAGAATATACTAAAACCAAATTATAACGAGAAAACTGTCCTGGACTGGGTCCTTTTGAACTGGATGGCATTTGTCCATCAGCAGTTTACCATTAGCTGAAGAAGTATGATTCTTGGATTGGAGGGTATAAATTCATTATTAAATAACATTATTATCATCAAAAGAATATACTAAAACCGAATTATAACGAGAAAACTATCCTGGACTGGAAATTTTTGAACTGGATGGCATTTGTCCATCAGTGGTTTACCATTAGCTGAAATTAGTACGATTCTTCTCGTTGATTAATTCATTATTAAATAACATTATTATCATCAAAAGAATATACTAAAACCAAATTATAACGAGAAAACTGTTCTGGACTGGGTCCTTTGAACTGGATGGCATTTGTCCATCAGCAGTTTACCATTAGCTGAAGAAGTAAGATTCTTGGATAGGAGGGTATAAATTCGTTATTAAATAACATTATTATCATCAAAAAGAATATACTAAAAACATAATTATAACGAAAAACTGTCCTGGACTGGGTCCTTTTGAACTGAATGGCATTTGTCCATCAACAGTTTACCATTAGCTGAAGAAGTACGATTCTTGGATTGGAGGGTATAAATTCATTATTAAATAACATTATTATCATCAAAAGAATATACTAAAACATAATTATAACGAGAAAACTGTCCTGGACTGGGTCCTTTTGAACTGGATGGCATTTGTCCATCAGCAGTTTACCATTAGCTGAAGAAGTAAGATTCTTGGATAGGAGGGTATAAATTCGTTATTAAATAACATTATTATCATCAAAAGAATATACTAAAACATAATTATAACGAGAAAACTGTCCTGGACTGGGTCCTTTTGAACTGGATGGCATTTGTCCATCAGCAGTTTACCATTAGCTGAAGAAGTAAGATTCTTGGATAGGAGGGTATAAATTCGTTATTAAATAACATTATTATCATCAAAAGAATATACTAAAACATAATTATAACGAGAAAACTGTCCTGGACTGGGTCCTTTTGAACTGAATGGCATTTGTCCATCAACAGTTTACCATTAGCTGAAGAAGTAAGATTCTTGGATAGGAGGGTATAAATTCGTTATTAAATAACATTATTATCATCAAAAGAATATACTAAAACATAATTATAACGAGAAAACTGTCCTGGACTGGGTCCTTTTGAACTGGATGGCATTTGTCCATCAACAGTTTACCATTAGCTGAAGAAGTATGATTCTTGGATTGGAGGGTATAAATTCATTATTAAATAACATTATCATCAAAAGAATATACTAAAACCAAATTATAACGAGAAAACTGTCCTGGACTGGGTCCTTTTGAACTGGATGGCATTTGTCCATCAGCAGTTTACCAGTAGCTGAAGAAGTAAGATTCTTGGATAAGTAAGATTCGTTATTAAATAACATTATTATCATCAAAAGAATATACTAAAACATAATTATAACGAGAAAACTGTCCTGGACTGGGTCCTTTTGAACTGAATGGCATTTGTCCATCAACAGTTTACCATTAGCTGAAGAAGTACGATTCTTGGATTGGAGGGTATAAATTCATTATTAAATAACATTATTATCATCAAAAGAATATACTAAAACCAAATTATAACGAGAAAACTGTCCTGGACTGGGTCCTTTTGAACTGGATGGCATTTGTCCATCAGCAGTTTACCATTAGCTGAAGAAGTAAAATTCTTGGATAGGAGGGTATAAATTCGTTATTAAATAACATTATTATCATCAAAAGAATATACTAAAACATAATTATAACGAGAAAACTGTCCTGGACTGGGTCCTTTTGAACTGGATGGCATTTGTCCATCAACAGTTTACCATTAGCTGAAGAAGTACGATTCTTGGATTGGGAGGGTATAAATTCATTATTAAATAACATTATTATCATCAAAAGAATATACTAAAACCAAATTATAACGAGAAAACTGTCCTGGACTGGGTCCTTTTGAACTGGATGGCATTTGTCCATCAGCAGTTTACCATTAGCTGAAGAAGTAAGATTCTTGGATAGGAGGGTATAAATTCGTTATTAAATAACATTATTATCATCAAAAGAATATACTAAAACATAATTATAACGAGAAAACTGTCCTGGACTGGGTCCTTTTGAACTGGATGGCATTTGTCCATCAACAGTTTACCATTAGCTGAAGAAGTATGATTCTTGGATTGGAGGGTATAAATTCATTATTAAATAACATTATTATCATCAAAAGAATATACTAAAACCAAATTATAACGAGAAAACTGTCCTGGACTGGGTCCTTTTGAACTGGATGGCATTTGTCCATCAGCAGTTTACCATTAGGTGAAGAAGTATGATTCTAGGATTGGAGGGTATAAATTCAGTATTAAATAACATTATTATCATCAAAAGAATATACTAAAAGCAAATTATAACGAGAAAACTGTCCTGGACTGGGTCCGTTTGAACTGGATGGCATTTGTCCATCAGCAGTTTACCATTAGCTGAAGAAGTATGATTTTTGCATTGGAGGGTATAAATTCGTTATTAAATAACATTATTATCGTCAAAAGAATATACTAAAACCAAATTATAACGAGAAAACTGTCCTGGACTGGGTCCTTTTGAACTGGATGGCATTTGTCCATCAGCAGTTTACCATTAGCTGAACAAGTATGATTCTTGAATTGGAGGGTATAAATTCATTATTAAATAACATTATTATCATCAAAAGAATATACTAAAACCGAATTATAACGAGAAAACTGTGAAGAAGAGAAGAAATTTTGAACCTAACCAACAACTCGTATTTATAGTGGTTTACAGTAATTTTGTTAAATTATACGAATATTCTCGTTGATTATTGTTTTTAAATAAATATGACAATGTCCTACAATGAAAATGCGAGTTGCTTAACTCTAATAATTCTAATTCCGAGCTAGCAAACGAGCTAGATGCTTTACCTAGACCGTTATTCAGAAGCTACAAACCTATCGATGAAAATATGCGTGAAAATTTACTTCCTAGCACACAACCAGATGATATTGGTACACAGGCACAGTATCAAGTTTATTATAATGATTTTCTTAGCTTTAAATCAATTTTTTTTTGTGTTTGCGCGATCGTGCGATCCATACCACTTTTTATCTCGCTAGCACGTGTTTCACGGCCTTGAATTTTTATTCCCAGCGCGCGTAAAGAAGTTTCACTTCAAAAATTCAACTATGTACTAACCCAACCAACTCTCGAACGATTGACATTCTTTATTGACATTTTTTTCTTTTTTTTTGCAGCGAAAAAACAAAATGGCTCCGCTTTCAGGACGAACAGTCTGGGTAGCGGTGTCAGGACTCCCCCCTCCGAGAGGAAAAGCAAGTTCTCCTTGGGGAAACTGCTCAGGCCGTGGAAATGGAAGCGGAAACGAAAATCGGAGAGGATCGAAGCCGTTTCTCGAAGTAAGTGACATCCATAATTGAATCGCTATACGCAAAAACAACTCATGTCCAAAAATTCGATTTCACATGTGTAGTTGTAACAACCAAGTTGAAGGTTTAATGCAAATATCTTTAGATTATTAAATTATTCTAGATATTGTTTTTGGCTGCATTTTTGCGAGCTAAGATATTTGCCCATGCACGGTCGAAAAATGTTAGTACACTCAGCAAGGCCCATATTCTCACACTGAACCACAAACATCGGCACGAATGGACGAAACGATTATATTTCGATTACCTTTAAACTAAAATTATTCACAGCATTGATTTTTATCCATTAAATACATACACATGTTATATCATATAATTCTCAGATGAAATATATAAGGAAAATCTTTAGCACAGAATATTACAACAGACTAATAAGCTATATGCTTTAGTTAACACTAATTAAATAATGAGAAAACATTTACTTTACCTTAACATTCTTTGTCACAAAACTTACGAACCAAAATAACATCAATGCGTCTCGAATGGTAGTCTAAAAACTATTACCTAACAACTATTATCTCTGGTCGTCGCCTAATTTCCTTCTCTTTCTTTATATATTCAGAGTGTCTTAAAAATAAATGTTTTGAATTTAAAGAAATATGTTTATTTTTAAAAGTAGGTGGTTCATCTCAGTTCTTTTAATGTTATGTCTTTTTGTGAATCCACCTTTGTTAAGAAACTATTCGGAAAAAATCTTCTCTTCAAATAAATTGTTGCTTTTTATTTCTTTTTATCAGTATTCCAGAGGCCTTAGAAGTCTACAAATAATGTCAATAAAAAGCTGTTGGTTTCCACATAACGTTATAATATCTAACAGCAATATATCAGTTTTACGTTACCAACTGAAATTATCGACAAAAAAAGCAACAGATGGTTGATTTAATGTGACATTAAACGTTTTCTGAAAGAATGTTCGATTTATGGTCCGCATATCAAGCATGAACGTAACTCACATTAAGATAAATATGTAATTAATATTTAATACCTTATGTAAGATCAGTGTTTGAATAAAAAAACTCCTATACTGCTTTAGGTACAGGGTGGGTCAAATTCGACGCTTTTAAATGGAAACACCCTTTTCTATAGGAAATAGACAAAAACTAATATCGGTGTCTGGAGCTTAATTTTTGTCAAAAACATGATGGTGAAAACCGCATATCGATATCTGTTACCGTTTCGGAGTTACGGGGTGTTTTTCAAAATTATGCATTTTTAACAAATCGCTGTAACTTTTTTGCTATGGAAAATTTTGTTTTTTTACGAAAACATTTCCAAAGCACCTTTTTACGTAGAATTTAATGGTTTAAGTATAATTTTTTTAAAATTAATAATTTAAGAATTATCAACAGAAAATTTGATTTTTTATATGAGACACCCTGTATATTTTTAATTTATTGAAAAGAATTTAAAATTAGCTTTCCAAAAATATAACACACTTGATATTTTGCTCGATTCCTCTTCGAGATATAGAGTATACAAAAATTCGCCCACTTTAAATAAGTAGACTTTGAATGGCACAGGTTGTAATGCAAAAAAATTCTAGCTGTGAGCATCAATTAAAACGAAAATAATATTTGCAATGAGAGATGCAAAATTTTATAACAATATAAAATATATTTAACCAACATCAACACATTTAAACTATATCTAATAACAATAAAAATAAATAGCAAACCAAGACATGAGATTTTGCTACAGGTGTTCGACATATCGACCGTCTTCTGTTATGGACAGACGGGTCAGTTTTTGAACATTTCTCGCGGAATTCATTAACTCGGTGGGGGTGAAAAATACCCCCTCATAACTGCTAAGTATTTTTAATTCTTGTCTAGATTATATGGAAGAATAAGGAACCTTCATTCTTCCGCAAATATATGCATAAGATTAGATCCATGGGCACTAAGTCAGGCGGTCTCGACGGCCAACGGCTGGAATCTTGGTTGGCTATTCAATTATTCTTGAAATTGGATGCAAAAATTTGCTGATAACTTCAGCGATCAGAGGCGGTGCGTCGTCTTGCTGGAAAAATATGTTTTCGAGTTCCATTAAGGGCATATCATCATTAAAGGGCCCAAAGCCTACTAGTTAAAAGTGGCGAACTCTTAAAAATTCTGTATTTCGAAGGGGATTATAACAAAATATCAAGTGTGCTATATTTTTGGAAAGGTAATTTTAAATTCTTTTCAGTTAATTAAAAATATATAGGGCGTCCCAAATAAAAAATCAATTTTTCTGCTGATAACTCTTAAATTATTAATTTTAAAAAAATTATACTTAAACCATTAAATTCTACGTAAAAAGGTGCTTTGGAAATGTTTTCATAGAAATACAAAATTTTTCATAGCAAAAAAGTTACAGCGATTTGTTAAAATGCACATTTTGAAAAACACCGTAACCCGTAACTCCAGAAACGGCAACAGATATCGATGTGCGGTTTTCACCATCATATTTTGATGAAAATGATTTATGGTCCGCATATCAAGCATGAACGTAACTCACATTAAGATAAATATGATAATATAAAAGTGCTTTATGTACAGGGTATCCCAAATTGGAACATCATCATTGAGATCTTGAGAACTAGAACACACAGATACGTGGTGGGTTAAATGGAAGCAAAGGTACGCAATTTGGTGCTTCAGAAATATTCGGAATTTTTAAACTTTCAAGGCAGCATTTTGATCAGCATCAAATTGCGCAACTTTGCTCCAGTTTAACTGACCTCGTATCTCTTCTAATTTCCGAGATCCCTATGATGAGGCTCGAATCTGGGACACTCTGTACGCCAATACTTATATAAGTCCTAACTAACCATGTGATTAGTGTTAAAAAAATCAATTTTTGTGAAAAAAATAAAGAAAATTTGGTAATATTTATAAAAAATAACATTATATTAAGTCTCTAATTAACGAAGAAAATTTCAAAATTAAAGGTAATTAAATGATATAATTTTTGGCAGAGAACATGAGTGTGTCAATTGCTCCAATTCGGCTGATTAAAAGGTCAGGACAGTACTTTGCGTTGAACTTATTTTTAGCACGGCCTGATTATGTATTTTTGTTGATTTTCGCGGTTACATTTTCCGCGAAAAATAATTATACCTAAAGAATTTGAAAACAAAATTTCAATTCTGGTGCGATTTCCAATAAGTTTAGTATTTTCCTGAAGTAATAAAATTGTTGGCTACTAAACGTAGTATTTTTGAACGAATTTTGTTTTTTTGTTTATTATTTAAATTATTGAGGTTTTTATTGGCAGCAATCACATAACAGAAATACTTCTAGGAACTATGTAGGTATTTAATAAAAATTATAGAAAATTATACTATTGTCACAGCTTATATTTTAATTGAATTATAATAACTAGTAGTATAGTAATCTACTATTTCGATTACTAACTAAATCTAAACAGAGCATACTTAGCAAAATAAGCGTTCGGCATTTAACGTTTTATGTAAAACTGGCTAGGTATTTTTACACAAATGACGTAGGAAATTAAAGATAAAGGATTATACTATATCCGTATTGTAGCAGATTTTTAGACAGCTCCTTTATTTTTAAGATTTTGATGGTCAAACATCAACAAAATATTCCTTATGTTTGGACTAAATTTTCTCGAAAATAAAGGCATAATTTAAAATTCCGTTACAATACGGAAATACACTTACGTGCATAGAAATCGGCCCAAGGCAAACTTTTGAAGTTAGTTATTAGGGTTATACCACATGGACACGGACATTTTAGATTATTTTAAAGATTTTTACAAATTGTAAGTTTTGCTTCGATGAAGGACTATTAGAGTCGTACAATTTAAAAATACTTTGATTAAGATACAGAGTGTCCCAAATAAGTAAAAATATCAGTTGTATTTTTAAATGGAACACCCTGTATTATTACATTTTTAATTTCTACGATTAAAATAAAAGGTAAATTTGATTAAGATTTATTATACTTAAACCTTACCGTTTTTGAAATATTTTCAATTTTGTGAAATTGCAGTAAAAATTTTAAGGCTTCTCCAAGGGTATCAAAGTTTTAATACTAAATATTTACTGAAGTTTATTTACTGATCAGTTATTGTGTTGCAATAATAAAATAATACTACCTTATACAGAGTGTCTAAAAATTTATTTTAAATAATATTAGCTTCAAACGGCAATAACTTGTTTAATTTAAATGGAACACCCTGTATATTTTACGAGAATCAGATGCACAATTTAATTGTCTATCAAATTATATTATACCATTTTTACCTATTTCTTTAAGTTTCCGTAGAAAATGCATTTTCTTGTTATTTAGAACTTATTTATCAATATACCCATGGACTATTGACATTATAGATTATTTTAAAGATGTACCAAATTTTTAAAGAGTACAGATACTAATATTGTCGATATAATTCGTTTATTTCATTAAAAATAAAAAAACTGTTTAAATATTTGTTAAAGAGGACCAATTAATATGATTCCAGTATTCAAACTACATTAACTGCCTGTTTGCGTTGATTAATAATAATTGCTCCAAATACTAAAAAACTGAATTTTGTATGGGCATTAGACAGTGTGATAAAAAAGTAACACCTTAAAAATTATATTTCATTTTTTAATAAATGCTTATTTATAACAACAGAGACTTTAATTTGATAACTTATTATTATATTGATTTCTGACTCAAATCCACATTTATTTATAATAATTTATTAACAAACACAATTAAGTATGTAATTAATTAGTATATGGGCGGAAATAATGGTGTTATATTTAATTAATGGTATACTCTTTTATAAAGATTTATATAGTTTTCTTTTTGCATACAAATGGGCTAGTAATATTATCGTTTTGCTAAAACGATAATATTTGTATTTTTTTAAATGTACAATATACTATATGTAATAATACAACTATATTATCGTTTTGCTAAAAACGATAATATTACTAGTCTGTACATTTTGTACATTTGTTGCTTTACCAAACCAAACAATCTAAAATGTCAATATTCCATGGATATATTGATAAATGAGGTCTAAATTATAAGAAAATGCATTTTCTACGAAAACTTGAAGGGATAGGTAAAAAATGGTATAATACAATTTGATAGACAATTTAATTGTGCATCTGATTCTCCAAAAATATACAGGGCATTCCATTTAAATTAAAGAAGTTATTGCCGCTTGAAGTTATTAATTATTTAAAATAAATTTTTAGACACTCTGTATAAGGCAGTATTATTTTTATTATTGCAACACAATAACCGATCAATAAATAAACTTCATTAAATATTTAGTATTAACAACATTGATACCCTTGGAGAAATGAAGCTTTAAAATTTTTACTGCAATTTCACAAAATTGAAAATATTTCAAAAACGGTAAGGTTTAAGTATAATAAACCTTAATCAAATTTACCTTTATTTTAATCGTAGAAACTAAAAATGTAATAATATACAGGGTGTTCCATTTAAAAAAATACAACTTTGATATTTTTTTATTTATTTGGGACACTCTGTATCTTGTAAAAATATTTTGAAATTGTAGCTCTAATAGTCCTTCAACGAACCCCAAACTTACAATTTGTAAAAATCTCATCGTTTAGCTACAATACTCCGTGTCGTATGTGGTGAACAACCCTGTATATTTTTTAGAATCTATTTGTTAGATTAAGCAAAAATACATGCTGTTTGAAAGACAATTTCATATTCTTTGAAAAGAGTTTAGAGATATTAATTTGTATTTTAGTTTCTTTGGATTAAAATTATTAAATTAATGCATGAAACAATAAATTATCGTTTTTATTACTAAGATGTATGCCATTATTTATTTATTTATTGATTGACAATTAACTAAAATAAATTTTCAATAATGGGTATGACCCCCTCTTGCTCTTATAATATCTGTCATACAGTTTGGCATAGATTCAATCAAGTTTGATATTGTTGCTTGCGGTATGTTAAGCCACTCTTCTTATACTGCAACAATGTGCTCTGGAATAGAGGTTGGGGCTCTTTGTCTAGTACGAATCCTTCGTTTTAGCTCATCCCATAAATGTTCTATCGTGTTTAAGTCTGGACTGCATTCTGGCCATTCCGTAACCTGAAAACTGACTTCTGAAATGTACGATTATCGATTCGTGACACAAATCTCGATTTGTGTGCTCTCGCATTGACATGCATAAAAGTGAATTCGCTTCCAATATAGTCGACGTAAGGTACCACATGAACTGCTAAAATCTCCTCAATATACCTAGCAGTCCTAGCACCAGTTAAACCTCCTCTCCCGTGCCAACGGTCGTCCCAACGGATAAAAACTGGATCGGTTCGCGCAGTCATAGAAATTGTATCCCAGATCATGCAGAAACCACCTCCATAAGCAATCTGCCCCTCAATGCAGCATTCTGCGAATCGCTAATCTGGCCTCTGGAACACTTTTCTTCTTCCGTCGCTACCATAGAGGCATATCCTGGTCTCATCTGAGAATAAAACACATTCCCATTGTTCTAGTGGCCAATTCAGATGTTCCGTGCAAAAGGCAGGCGTGTTTGATGATGAGCTGGGGTAAGTTTTGGACCAATTGCGGGTGTTTTGGGGGTCATGTTACTTTCCTTCAATCTTCGTCTTACTGTACTCTGACTAACAGTCACTCCTCGTGTTTCACGGAGCTGTTGTTGCACCTGAATAGCATTAAAATGCCGATTTCTTGATATTGTTGACACAATAAAGCGGTCATCACGATCCGTTGTATATCTCGTTCCACCAGTTCCAGGTCGCCTACGAAAGGGTCCAGTCTCCTCATATCGTTCACACACTCTTCGAACCGCTCCGCGTGTCATATGTAGTTGCCGAACTAGAGCTCTCTGTTTAAGTCCATTTTCGATTAATTTAGGGGGCTGTTACTTGGGCGGCTTTTTCCGGTGATGTATGCATTAAATTGAAACACTAATCAAACAATGAAATACAACTAATCAAAAATAAAAGAACAATGTGAAAATTTTGATTACAAAGGTAGTAATTGCAATATTTGACAAGTTTGTTATTCTTATTGTCACCACGACACAAATACCTTTTATTTGGTTACCCGTTGGTACGCATATAAACCATAAGTACCGTGGATAAATTTATGTTCATATTAAAGCATGTTAAATTGTCTTTGAAACAGCTCATATTTTCTACTTGCTCTGATAAATAGATTCTAAAAGACAGAGTTAAAACCAAAAGTTCACAGTGGGCCGATTTCTATGCACGTAAGTTTAGATTGAAGTTTTGTGATTACAGTGATATATAATTTATATGATTTTGTAACAAATTGCTCGCTATTTTATGACAAATACTGAAGCTCTGCAAACCTTAATCAAGCAACGTTGCGTTGCACAACTGATTCAGCGGTCCATACACTATCAAACAAGTTGCGCAACAAAGCGATACGCAACGTTCCGTTGCACAACTGCCTCACCCATGCACTTAGTAAAATTTTGATCAAACTGTTTATTAAGAGTTGTGCATTGTTTGAGAAACAATCATGTCCTCAATTGCCATTGCGTCAATTATTATCGTATATACCCTAGATGATGTCGATGATACCAAAAAACGAAAAAGAAAACAAATAATTTGGATGAAAGAACTAAAATATTGCACAACGAAGCGCAACGCACACATACACTACACAACGCGTTGCGCAAACAGTCCTGTTGCACAAAAGAATTCAAACATTCTTGAAACTCATCAAACAATTGCGCAACGCATCAAACACTACCATACATTGGCAACTCGTTGCGCAACGGCCTGCGTTGCGCAATTTGTTTGATAATGTATGGGCCGCTTTAGACATATTTTTGAAATATAATATATATTTCCTTCTTACCCGACCCGTAAGAGCGACCCGAACAGTACAGCGTAATAGACAAGATGAAGGTATTTCAATTAGTAGTATATGTTGCCGCGCAATAATTGCCAAGTCGTTATAATAATTATAGAAATAAAGATGTCTGATATTGATACGGTCACTATAAATGTTGATAGCTAATTGATTAAAGGCAATTTATAACAAAGTTGTTGAATAGGTACTTCCACAGACACAAATTAAAATAAATAACTTGGTTTTACAAGAGATCTCACAACTTATTGTAGTAGAAAGACTGCGTTTCGAGACTTAGTTTTTTACAATTCATCCTTTTGATGGTTTTTTTTTAATTGAAAACAGTTTTATTTGATTTTAAACGACTTTTATTAAAATAATTTTTTTTTAGTTTATTTTTTAGGTTTTTATTTATTTTTTCGTTTGATTTATTTATTTTTTCGTTTGATTTATTTTATTTTTGTTACAGCGTTAGAACGAAAGATCTCTGTTCGAGCCAATCGAGATGAGTTAGTCCAGAAAGGTATCCTTTTACCCGATAGTCCTCCGCCAAAATCCGACACAGGTTCGTATGTAGAGTTTTTTTTTATCCTAGATTGGTTTGCCTAGTTTGTGTTTACCCTAACTCTAGCCTTAACTTAACCTATGTCATCGTAAGTTTGCTCAAAACCCTATTTAGTTTATGGATTACAACTTTATTTATTTATTTATTTTAATTTTTTTTTAGATTGATTTAGATCTTAAAGCCTCATTTACACATAACGTTTTACTTGTCAGTTTTGCGTGTCAGGTAAAACGGTAAAGACTTACTTCTTATGCCTAGGCCTTAAAATGACCTTTTTATATAGTCAATCACGTGGCAAAAATTAATACTTTTGTGACGTTTGAAAAAAAAATTATTTTTATCTATTTTCTTAACACAAAAATGCCATAAGGCGTCATCTACTTTCAATGTTCAGAAACTCTGAATACCACCGAGGAAAACTTCTATAGTATATCGATTTTCACGAAAGTACGGATGGAAACGGCACCTAGAGGTGAAAGTTTAAACTAAAAGAAAATATCTTACCCTGACTGAAAATAGAATTCTGTTTTGTGATTATTGATTTACCTACCCTAGTTTGTATTTCTGATAAATAATATTGTGCTTTACGGTATGTTTTTGTCAACATACCAAAGACTAACGACCTCTGGATTATAAGAAAATGCAAAAATTATTGATTTGTATTTTTCTTTTTCTTGAAACATATTTTGTTTTTACGAAATTTTTACTGCTTGCATTTTTCAGAATTTTTGTAATTTTTTATTAAATTAGGAAATCATTTTTCACTGGTAACTAACTTTATAATATGGGTCGCGTTTAGTAAATCAGTCAATTATAAAATTCACTTAGAATTAACATATTATACACTCAGATGCAAAAAAAAGCAACGGAAATTTTTTTCGTCAAGTTTAAAGTGTTATTTTTTTACTTTTAGCCCTATTTTCATGATTTTTTTAGCAAACTATACCGGGTGTTGCATCGTCGGACGGGACATAGGAAATCCCATGTAAATTTTAATGGGGTCAATTATTGGCTTCCCTAATTATTTTAGAGAATAATTATATTTAGGTTTATTGAAGAGCACTAAAACCCACATCCAAAAGAATAACTTTAGATATTTTTGATTAGCTCGTTTACGAGTTATCGCCGATTTCTTTTTAAATATTTCTCCGTTCTTATGGCCCTGTATTTACTTATGAGCACCAGTCAAGGTAAAAGATAACTGTCAAATGAAGTTGTCATTTCAGAAATTTACCTATTTAGTGCTTTATTATTATTGAAAACTCATTCCTACATCGGAAATCTTAAAGATGTATTTATAAATACAAATTAATATGAATTAAAGTAAAACAAAGTAATCAATTACAAGGTTAATTATAGTATTATTATATATATATATATATATATATATATATATATATATATACCCTATATATATATATATATATATATATATATATATATATATATATATATATATATATATATATATATATATATTATATATATTATATATATTCCCTTCTTACATTCGCTAGTTGGTAAACTGAAATTCTATTGCATTCGGCAGAAATAGCAATTTTTAACTCGTCTAGATTTGGGTATTTTTTATCCTTGTATATCCTGTTTTTTAAATGGCTCCAGAGAAATAAATCATTTGGCGAAATATCAGGAGACCTTGCCGGCCAATTTACTGTATGATTTAGGCCAATAACGTTTCCGTTACAACTATTGTCTAAATATTCCCGAACAGCCAGGGTACTATGTGCCGGGCAGCCATCCATTTGGTACCAAATTTCCTGATTTTCCTTAGCGGCATCATGTAAAGCAGGTAAAATATGATTTTCGAGTAGTTTCAAATAATATTCTGCATTTAAATTTTGCGTAAGAAATAATGACCCGATAATATTGTGTCCGAATACCCCTGCCCAAACATTTACTTTCTGTGGATATTGCGTCCTTGTTTCGACAAACCTGTGTTGTTGGTTTTCTTTGTTCCAATATCGATAATTTTGAACATTGGGTTCATTATTTAAGGTAAACGTGCATTCGTCAGTAAAACATATGTTTTTTTTTAGAAATTCCCTATTCGTGTTTGCTTTTTCCATCATATCAAAACAAAACGCCTGCCTCCGTATTTCGTCCCCATCTCGTAGCTCTTGGTGCTTTTCATATTTGAAGGAATAGTATTTATGTCGTTTCAAAATTCGAAACGCTGTAGTGTGATCTATTCCTATTTCATCTTCAAGTTTCCTTGTGCTGATCTTTCCATCGTTCTCTTCCACGCACAATAAAACTTCCAAGTCGGTATCATTTCTTGCATCTTCTCTTTGTTCCTGCCTTGCTTCACATCTGCAGTTATTTATTATGGTACCTTTGGTCTCAAATCTCTGGATATTCCTTGCGATTGTAGATTTTCCAGGTATCGGTCTATTCGGCTACAGAGCAGCAAACATGTCCGACACCTTTTGATAACTATTTCCTTGATAATACCATTTAATCATCAATACTTTTTCTTCGGTAGTGTAATTCATGGCTAATATTTTCGATGTAGGTATGAGTTTTTAATAATAATAAAGCACTAACTAGATAAATTTCTGAAATGACAACTCCATTTGACAGTTATCTTTTACCTTGACTGTTGCTCATAAGTACAGGGCCATAAGAAAGGAGAAATATTTAAAAAGAAATCGGCGATAATTCGTAAACGGGCTAATCAAGAATATCTAAAATTATTCTTTTGAATGTGGGTTTTAGTGCTCTCCAATAAACCTAAATAGAATTAATCTCTAAAATAATTAGGGAAGTCAATAATTATTGACCCCATTAAAATTTACATGGGATTTCCTATGTCCCGCTCGACGATGCAACACCCGGTATATAAATCTATCAATTTTAATTCATAAATTCAGTATTTGGCATATTATACAGGGTTAATTGAAGGGTTGTTTTTTGTCCTAACTTTGAAACACCCTGTGTAATAATTTCGTGTGTAACTTTTCCTAAAACATTATTTTTCGATGGGAACCATGTCTCCTGAGCATTTTGTTTTTTGACTCATGTCAACAAATGCCTTGGTTAATTTTTAAGAGCGAAATGAACTTGCCACCAACAATTTCCAATTTTTTCAACTATTTTTACTTTATAATGTTATTTTTTAATATCACGAGGTGACAATTACGACAATAGTCATCATCTATTGTCGTAATGTTATATCGACACTGATTAGAACTTGGTTTTAATAAATATTAGGAATAGGAACACTAACAGAACTAAGGGTATTAAAAAAAATAACTGTAATAACTAATTGTACAAAGAAACAAAAATTAAAAAAAAATATTCTAATGTAATGTTTCAAGTTTGAAAAATGTCCTCTAGGGGGCGTTTCTCTGGTAGCTAATCAGAAAACAGGGTTTTTCTCAAAAATATGCAGGTGAACAGGTATTTTAAATATTACTACTATAATCGACGAGAAATTTGTAATTTTTTTGATATAGAGTATTTTGCTCTATCTCATAGAATAAAGTGGGGAGGGAAGGTTAAACTTGCTTTTATTAAAATAAGGATAACTCTGGTTTAGGTTTTGCCGATTTAAACAAACTAGGGCTCCTAAAGAAAAGAGCTTTTCTTCCTTAATGATCTTCAGTATAAATTTTATTTCCATATTTTTTTTCGTGGTAGCTAGAGGGCGCTGTTTGACATGACAAAAAAATTAAATAGGAGGTTATATTTCTCTTTGCACAGTTAAATAGAGCACAAAAATTTCCAAAATATCCTGTCGCTTAGGATTATCAAATCAAATCAAATCTTTTTATTAGGCCCCAATATAAAAAATATATAAAATATAAACCATACTTTGGCTGACTAATAGCCTAATAGCCTAATAAGGAGTGCACCGCGATTACAAAACCGATTCACTGATTGCCAAAGGCATCAGTGTGGTACACTCCCTGTAAAAAATAACTAAACAGAATTTCATTTTCAATACAATAATATACCAACAACAAACAAACCCGTAAGAAAAACAGAGGACCACCGGCAAAGCAAAAAGAAACCCCGAGCGCACAGAACAAAGCGTCTGCAAGACAATTTAGCAATGTTAAAAAATATATAAATACAATTTCAACACATACACAAATATTTTCCAAAATTGTAAAGCTGAGCAGGAGCCAGTCAAAACCATATCAAATTAAAGGCCCGTTCACCACAGTTTGCCAAAATAACAAAAGATAAAAGATAAATTTAGAAATAAGTTCTATATTATATTCGATTGTAAAACCAGCAAATTATTCTTAACATATTTATTAAAATAATGTGATTTAAAGCATTTAACACTGATTGAAAGAGAATTCCATAATTGAGGCGCAAGAAAAGAAAACGATTTCTGAAAGCCAGCCGTCCTATGTTGAGGTATTCTGAAACGATGTAAGTTTCTTGTTACATGAGTGTGGTTAAAAGGAATAAACAATGATTTTAAATAAGGCGGTTGGCCAGTTTGTAAGATACGGTAGATAAATGTTAACATATGAAGTTTTCGCCTATTTACCATAGACAGAATATTAAATTGATTTAAATATGGCGTAATATGTGTATGAAATGAGATATTATACGAAAATCTCATGCAGGAATTTTGAAGTTTTTGAATGGATATGGCAACCATTTGAGTCAATGAAGAGCCGTATACCACATCTCCATAATCAAACAAGGACAAAATTAGCGAATTGCAAAGATCATATTTTGTATTCTGAGGAAGATGTTTCTTAAAATAAACCAAACCTTTTAGTCGCATATATGCAATTTTCAATTTATTTCTTACATGTATATCAAATTTTAAATTAGAGTCAAAATATATGCCGAGATTTCTAGCGTCCTTAACTATTGGTATTTTAGTATTATTAACACATATATCAAGATTGTCTGATAGATAATTGAGAATAGTCTGATTATTTCCAAACAGCATAATAAACGATTTGGATGCATTTAATTTTAGATTATGTTCCATTGAATATTTGTATATGTTA